TTGTACGACGAAGACAACACATGCGGGTGTGGCGTCCTCTTAAAAAAGTAATTCATACATAAGACATAACCCAGAATATAACTACTACCTACCTAGTATAGCCAGTATAGATTACTATTAATTAAATCCAGATTTTCCATAAAGATAAAATTTTAAATTGTTTACTATACCTATACATAATATACCTATTACCTATAGCTAGCATGTGTAATAATAATATATTATCTATACAATTAAGCAGTATTATTCGATTATTATATGAATTAAACTTCTGCGMATTGTAGATATATGTACAATATTGTTATTCATACACAACGTCAATTATCTTCTTTTATAATGCATTTGAAAAACTAACCAATAATTATAAGTAAATTTCAAATATAAATAGATTATAACTCATTATTATTCGAGAAGCAATCATTATTGATTATATTAGATTTAAATAATTTGTCTGGTTACAATAATCATACATTTAATTATTCTTCTGACGTACAAAATATATTCAGATTAACCGTTTACTTTACTTCTAGTTACATTTTAAGCAATCGAAAATAGCAGTGATAGTACATATAATAACATATTATTTAAATGTAAAACGCGTATTCATGAGTACACATAGTTTTTTCGCCCATTCGAATTGCAGTATATTATATTATATTATTATATTAATAATGTATATATTAGAGACAAATATAAAATAATATAGAATAATGTATATTATTTTGTCCACGATTACATATAATTTATTTTTTGGTTATTTAAATTAATAATAACAACGTAATTTATMATTTGAATTAATTACATTGTATTGTTATTTGTAGGTTTAGATGGATTTTTTACCTTGTGGTATGTACTCAATGGCGGATTCGACGCTTCCAGACTCCGTGGACGGGCATGGTTCACTTGCAAAAAAAAGGTGAGTACCTTAAACGCACGACTTATAAACAAAATATAAAAAATTAGCGTTGAAAAAAAATATCAATAACCATCATAAAAAACGATGTTTTTTAGTCGTGAAAAAAGTACTGTGACAGGAATGGCCACTTTAACTAGGGAAGAACGTCGGAGAAGACGACGGGCCACCCAAAAATATAGAATGGCTCATGCTACACGCGAACGAGTCAGAGTCGAGGCATTCAATGTAGCTTTCGGCGAATTGCGAAAACTTTTACCCACAATACCACCCGACAAGAAATTGTCAAAAATCGAAATATTAAGACTCGCTATATGTTACATAATGTATTTAAATCAATTTTTGGAAACGTAAAGTGCTGATAATCGGATACTCGTCTAAAATAAGGTTTAGGTACATAATATTAAAGGTACTATAAACCTCCAAGAAGAATTGAATATAAAGTATTATAGATTTTAACATTTATAACATTATAGCTTATATTATATTAACTTCATATAGTTATGAACTTATTATCTTCAAAAGGTTACAACACGAGTAGGTTCTATAGATTTTATAAAATTATATCATACTATCATTTATTATTATATTACGCTGTTTAATTTTGACAAGATTAATTATTCTCCCGAAATTTTTGTATTTTACTTACTTCGTCTAAGATATTATATTCGTAATTATTGTATAATATACAAATGTGATAGTGCTTAAACGTTATCGTTGACTTCGGATCTTTATGTCACAATGTCATAAACACGATTGATTATGATAATAATATACAATTTATTTACTATTTTTTTTTTTTATATTATAATATATTTGTTTCATTATTCAAATCTATTATCATCGAATTTTTATTGTAATATATAATATTTATTTCCATATAAACATGTAAATTATTATAATTAATTTTTATGTAGATATAGAGTACACGCGTAATATGTATAGGTACTTGTATTATAATATTATAACCTGTAAATAAATAAATTGCTATCATAGGCGACAAGTGAATTTATTTTGACTCAAAACTAATCTTTAGAATATTTTTGTTATTTAATGGGGCACTGATTTTATATAAGGRTTGAAGGATGACGGAACTACTAAAAACGTTTCTCTTGGCCAAATTGGCGAAACTGTTCAAACCTGTCTATGGTTATAAAGTTATGATAAATTGAAGATAGTTTCGCTATCCACATATAATAGGAACCTATACTCTATAGTATAATACGATAATTGCCTAAACTTAAAACTAATAACGTAATATGTTTTTATCAAACGTATAGGCTGAATAAGTGCAATATAATTAATATCGTTGTTAATGAAAATAACAATTAATATAGGTATGGACATAAAAGAATATATGACTTATTATTACCAAACATTTTTTTTTAAATGCAAGAGTAAATCTTCCTATCTAACCACTTATAATAAAAAATATAATATATATATATATATAAATTAAATATGAATCTTAACTATAATTTTCATTCCATGTAAATATAAATAGAAATTACAAATCATTGCTATTATTATATACATAGTATGTTGTATGTATAAGTATAATTAAATAAATAATATATTATGCATTTAAAAGCTCTATATTATATTATTATATAAATATTATTGTATTAATTATAACTATTATATTTATATTGAGTTTAAATAATAAACGATGGCAATATATATATTCTATTTTGTAATAATAAACACATATTATAAAATCTCAATAGCCAATAGCCGTAAAAAAATTAAATCATATTATTTATATATATAATTTTATTTTTTATTGTTTACGGTTTTAATAAAGACCAAATAAGTCGTATTATTTACTTGAATATTTTKGATCTTAAAAACCTAAAAAATGATTTAAAAAAAATATACATGTATATATTATTCTATTCTGTGGTAATAATAACTCATTTTACATTTTTTCATATCATATTATTCACATACACCGCGATTATTTTATTAACTTTTACAATTTTAGTATCGAGTTGACTTGTACGATTTGTTTGAGCATAATTACACCAAACATATAATATCATGTGGATTGAAAATATCATCCATATTATTCTGTAATGTCTTATTGCATATTATAAGTCGATKTATTCGCACGTAACAACTTATACGTATTGCGAAACGCGTTCGTAAACGTATACCAACATTATATAATATATAATATATGTATATCCATTGTAAAAGTAWACGATTGTATTATTTTCCAAATTTTCATTCGACTCTACATCGATTAWAAACCATCTACTCTCCTCCTTGCCAAGGTTTTAAATAAAATTAGCTTTATCGGAGCAATATAATAATTAATAAGTCCATATCTTATATAATAATATAGTGCGCCTATACCTCTAACATTATATTTTATAATCTCATTAATTTATTTTACCTTTATAAAATTATCTTATATAGCTTATATTATATATTTATTAAGGTAAACAGTTTAGTTCCTATATAGTATATACTGTATAAATGCAATTTTCTAGTTGTAATATGTTTTTGTTAAAAGCTAAAATAAAAACACAAGGAAAAAACGTATCTACAATCCGACGAACATCAACCCGCACGAGCAAGGCCGTCTTATATTTGTTTCGATAAAAYGTTCGGCGGGAATTGTATAATTCAATGGTATAATATTATACTCTTATAATGGATAAATAAAGTTAAATTGCAAGGGGCAGTATCCCGTGATCGTCGGACCGTCAAATGCAATCGGTYTCGGTTGATCAGTTAYCTATATGCGTAAAACGATCATAGACTATATAACATGTAAAGTAAATACGATTTGACGCTCTTCTCTGTTTATTATTATGTAGGTGAGAATATAGCGATTAGGTTGCACTGCACATGCGCATATCGCATCTAAAAAAATGTAATCGGGATGATTCATTTAACGTATTAAACTCTCAGAATGTCAGAAAACAATAACGTTTATGAAAGTATTTTACATGATTTTAAATCGTTCTAAAACACAATTCTTGGGGAAAATTACAATTTTCATTATTTTTTAACGCTACTTTTCAAAGTTTTACTTATTTAAATGATGACACGTCATTACAATTTCTTGTTCCAAAACAGAATATTATTCAGAGTATTTATAAACTATAAATATATTTATGGAAATCGTTTAAAATAGTCAAATTTTTGACAAGTACCTTATTATAGTAAAATTATAACTTATAATAGTATTTAAAATTAAGCTGAGTAAATTACCTAGTGTAGTAGTGTGGTAGTGTACACCAACATTTTGAGGGGTACACTTTCACCACTCCACTCCATCTACTCCGATTGTCATAWCTTTTAATACTTATAAATTAGTTAGGTATAACTTATATACACGTCCAAAATTCGATTTTTACGCATCGAAAAACTCCAAAAATATTCTGCCTTGAAATAAGGAATTAAAAGTGTATGTTGTCACTWATAAATGTTAACGGTAAAAAATACTAAAAAATATATTTTATATAGAATAATATATTTTTGTAATGACTTACAATTATGTAAAATAAATATCTTCAAAATTGTTGCAGGTGTTTTCTGAAATAATGAGCTTCTTGCGATAAATACATCACTCGGTATTAATATATGAACTATATAGAGGTATACTTTTTGACTTTTTAAAATCGCAATTTGTTTTTATCATCAGTAAACGTGATACATACGCAGTGTCTACCGTTATTATTATTGATATTATAAATGCCAGAGCCGACGCGCGGCGGCGGTCCCGTCTGCGGATTCGAATTCGAGCTCTGCGCGTAATGGAATCCGGTCGTCGCACACCTGAGGCCAGTTTTCGCCGGGTCTGAGGCTGCAGCTGCACCCCACCGATCCTTATTTTAAAGTTGTCACTGGATCGATGGTTTACGAGTGTGTATGAACACGGCCGTRAAGTTTATATATTATTTAAGATTATATTAACACACTGTTTCTCACTTTACCTCTGCGCAGACTTACGCGTGACATGGAAAATATGCGATCAACAGAAATTGTAGTGATATATTTAAGTAGGTATTTATGACTTTAATAATATTAGAGCTGTGAATTGACCCAATCATAAAACTTAAAGTTTTTTTTTTTTTAAATAAAAATGTCGTTTATTTGTAAAAATTTACAATCTATACACAATAAATGGTACAAAAAGTAAAATGTGAATGTAAAAATTAAAAAGAGTCGGTGAGAAGAAGGCAATGARTAGAATTTTTACATTGGAAAAACTTTAAGGTAAAAAAAATTTCATTTTTTGTGTTTAGTGCATTGGCTTTTTTTATGATATTTAAATTTTTATACAAGTCATGAATATACTGTATAAGTATATAATTTAAAAATGTTCATACATATCACAAGTATATAATACAAATAAAATCCGTTTGTGAATTAATTTTTTGTCGTTGAAATGGTTTTTTCTCTGAGGGAGGGAAGGCTGTCAACTTGTTAGGCGAGGCTTAATTCACTCCTTCCTAAGCTTAGTAATGCTGATACCATGAGTATATAACGTTTTAGACTACTTTTGCTTAACTATATATATATAAAAATTATGGTTATATAGGTATTATATATACATATAATACCTTCACAACTAACTTGCACTACTAACCCCTGCACCCCTCTAACGGCTCTAACTATACGCAATTGTAAATGTATTTACTATTTAGTCTTGTTTATTATTATGTTTATGTAGCTTTTAAGCATTTCTTCTTTTCTAATTTAACAACAATAAATTTCAACCGAAAAGCCACGCATCACCGATATATACGARCCGGCTATGGTGCAGTAAAATAAAATGTTCCCGTTTTAACGCGATCGGTTAAAACTAAATTAACTATATAATATGATATATTATATATTAGCTATTGCTTGGAAGATAGGGTGAGTGTGTGGAAAACGAGAGGGCCCGCGTGCGCACATAAAAGTGTGAACAACCGCGAGGGGGTGCGAGAGCGATCGAATCCCCAAGGAGGGCAGTGCACGTACGCGGCTCGTACAAAGTATATAACGATTATAACGTCTATAATACATGTATATCTATAGGTGTAAGCATTATTACATTATATATATATATATATATAGTAGTATACCAGTAGTCACCCAGCAGTTCTATATAGTTCGTATATATATATGGTTATTACACGGATCGGCGGACCTTTATAAGAAACCGAATTGGATTAGAAAAACGGATCCGGCGTGTATTTCAATGATTTGATTACAGTACAAAACTATATACATAATGTACCGGGTTGTACGTACTTGCAGTATAGTTGCTTATACGGTCGACTGTCGACAATCATCGCCTCGCAAGTGCGCAGTCGTTCATATGACGCTTATATCTAATTTATTGTATTTATTATGTAATATATATTAGTAGGTACATTTTAATATATTATAATATGTGTCTAGGGTGCTGCAATTATTGTAGACTGTAGTCAACCGATCGGAATATGTTATATATTATTATAATATATAGATAGGGTGCTATGTGGAGTTCACACAATATCTTATAGCTTAGTCGATATATAGGTACACGGTGTTGAAACTCTTGAAATGATTATAAGAATCAAAAGTATATAAAGTTGATTTACCATAATTCATAATCACACGGTGGTAGGGCCGGATTAAGGTATTTTGCGCCCCGGGGCAAACCTACCTAAAATTAAGAACTACTTTTTAATAATACATAAATATAACATTGTTTTAATATAATTTGGCATTTATTAAATAATATTAGAAATATATTAAAATTAAATGATAATAATCTTTTTAATATTACCATTGATTATAGAATTCTATATTCTATAATCAATGATATTACTATACAGGGTGATTTTTTTTATCATGAACCACTCATTATTTCAAAAAGTATCAATGTTTTTGAAAATATTTTT